AGACTTTCATTGCGTTGAGCATCACTTTCATCTTTTTACAATATACCTGACTTTAGGGTTTCTGTTATTTTTGGAAAAGCTGGTGGCAGCAATTGCCATCATGCATTTGTGACAACTGGTCTTCAGTTTCTCACATCATTTTGATCAGTTTAATTCAGCCATGTTGGAGAATTCTTCAGTATTAACAACCTGGTTAAGTTCAAAGGTCAAGAATTCTTCTTAAGGATTTCTGGTATGGAGCTGAATTCATGAATGCAACAATTAAAGTTGTCCAAGTGCTGAAGATGGAAGCAGCCCCGGACCATCAAAGTTACACCATCACGTTTGACTGATGGAAGAATTAGTTTTACACAAAATCTAACAAAGCACGTTCCAAAATAATCCACTTCGGACTTGTTAGCTCACAAAATATTTTCCCAGAAGTCATGGGAGTCATCAAGATGTTTTCAAAAACGTGAGACGGGTGTTTGGGATGTTGGTCAGAAGAGATTTCCTCCACGGAACTTTCCCCTGATGCCACGATTCCCCGTTTCTTACCAACTGTTGAATCATGAACTCTGCCTTGAGCTTGTAGTGTTCTAGATGTTCTGGGCTGTTTTGGTCTCGAATTTAAAACTAAGAATGGTGTGTTGCTTTTTTAGATCTTTCAGCCTACTTAATGTTGTCAGACAGGTTTTATTTAATTGATGTCTTAATTGTACAGCAATTAGACCTGAGCGTGACAAGTGAACCTGAACTCAGCTTTCAAAATAATGTGGTTTAATGAGTAATTCATGATTCAAGCTTTTGTGTTGTGTATTTATTCAGGTTGTCTTTTCTGGCAATGCTGCAATGGCAAATTTGGAAAACAAATGAGCTTACAAAAGGTTTAGTGCCTCTCAACAACGTTCCAACATAGCATAGCTATAAATATATTTATAAAGTGGTTCTCTGACATTTGTCTAAAAACCTCTGCCAACAACACATTTTAGACCGGAAGCAACAATTGGACCATCTGGTAGTAGAGTTTGCCGAACCGCAGAATATCTCATTACACACTCGCGTATTCAGCAACAGAACACCACTGGTGTGTGAGGTTCTCAGAAGGAGAAACAGCCAGCTGCTACCATTGCAACTTTAGGACAAACTACCAGATAGGCTTGGCAGGACTACGGTATTAACATATAGAGCCGGTGTTAAAGAATAGCAATACCCTCGTGAAAAAAAAAGAGTCGAAGATTAAAAATATGAAGGTAATTCATAGGTAATTTCATGTATGAAATGGATATGTGGCTGAATTTTCTTTTACTTTAATTATTTTAAATGTTTTGTCCAAATTTCAGAGATGTTCCATAAAGTTTATGAAGAGATAATGCAAGAGAGAAAAATGGCAACTCACTAAAAACAACACAACTTCTGCAGTTTGGGAGTATTTCGGGTTTGAAGCAAACCTAAAAGGAGAGCCGATAAACACAGATGAGATAATCTGTGCGAACCAAAACCGCACGCCCCGTTAGCACAGCAGAGGAGCGAGCTGTAGCTGAAATAGCGCCCTTCTGTCTGGAGCCGGTTATTAAAAGAGATGACAATGCACTTTTCTGGTGGAAATACGTTGACAGCCTTCCCCAGATGTCACGGCTAGCCCAAAAGTAACTGGGTGTCTGCCACAAGCTCACTGAAGCGGGTTTTCAGCTATCTGAGGTTTAAGCCAGTAAAGCTAAACACACTGGTTTTTCAGGCAAAAAATATTTCATAAGCTGCTTGTTTTCTAGATGTTGTTAATATTAGGTGTGTTATGCTGTTATTGTTTTAGTAATAATGTTTGTTTTTGAGTTTCTGAATTTTGTACACCTTGGTTTATGTTTATTTATTTGGCAGACGCTTTTATCCAAAGCGACTTACAATTTATAACCTATAGGGCATTTTGTGATCTGTGGGGGTACCCGGAGGAAACCCACGCATGCATGGGGAGAACACGCAGCTCCACGCAGAAAGGCCGCAGCTGAGTTTCGAACCGGCAACCTTCGTGCTGCGAGGCAACAGTGCTAACCACTGCGCCACCATGCCTCCCAAAATGTGGAAGAAGCAAGGCAGTATTAAAATTTGGATATCGCCCAAGCCCACTACCAGAGTCCCAAAAAGAAAAACATAATTTGATGTCACTGACAATAAAAGACATTTGGACGTAGAAAACAGTGACTGGTGTTTAGCACTATCTCGTTTTCAATGGCATTGAGGGTTTCCTGTTCCGGCAGAACCAGAAATCTGTGGGAAGATATCAGAGGGGTGGGGTTAGTGTTCCGTGACCACGTTTGAATTCAAAATCTAGCTTGTTTGCAAATTTGTTATGACAGCTTGATGATTTTTACCAAGTATGATATCAAAAGGCTTCATATTTGTTAATCTGTAAGGCTTTGAATGAAAATTGAACGTGGAGTGAAAAATTTCATTCTAGATTAAAAAATGCTCAAGATGTCCTACTGCTTAGTTTAATTAATTTAACTCTGCTGCAAAGACAGCTGATTGCTTCATTTAAGTCTTTAAGCCAGCTGGTTATGTCTAGTTTTTAAAAAGTCTAAATAGGGCCATCTGTGTCATGTGCTCTTTTACCACTGCATAGCTAAAACTGAAGTGTAAGGACACAGACAGAGACAGACAGACAGACAGACAGATGTGCATATGACCATTCATAAAGACATAGTATGGTTCTATTAATGTGGTTCTGCCAGTCATGCACCCCCATCTTACCGGGAAAGTGGTTTGGTCTTTCCACAAAGCCTGAAAGTGTTTCATCCATTTCAAAAGTGTGTGTGTGTGTGTGTGTGTGTGTGTGTGTGTGTGTGTGTGTGTGTGTGTGTGTGTGTGTGTGTGTGTGTGTGTGTGTGTGTGTGTGTGTGTGTGTGCGTGCGCACACACACGCGCGCTATTGTCTATGCAGCCATACCAGACTAATGATTCTTGGGGTTGTTCGTCCTCCCTAATTGGAGGAAAAACACATCATGTTCAAAATATGATGCTGTTTGAAAGCCGGAGGAAAAAGAAAATGTGAGAGAAACGAGAAACACATGGTGCAGGAGAGAGGAAACCACTGAGCAATGAAGAGGGTAAGATAAAGAGACGTCTTCCTAATACAAGACTTCCTCTCATCTGGGTTTCCTCTAGCAATAACAGGCAACACTGACATGCAGTCGAGCATTTAAAAAAATACCCGTGCATTTCCAATTTTTATAACAGTTCAAAGACGGACTGAGATTTTCATTTTGGCCACACAGATTTTAGAGTAAAACCGAAGCTGCAAAGCTCAGGAATCTAACAAGTCAAAACGTAGCTTCTTGTGCCGAGCTATAGTTCATGTTTAGTGTGATACACTAATTATTTGAATATTCTAGAATGTACTTGAAGCAATAATTATTCATTAAAAGATTGCACATAAATATACAGAAATGTTTATAGTAATTCTTAAAATTTAATCTATTAGCAAGTTCATTGTTTGTTTATGATAAAAAAAAAATTGCCTATATTTTGATGTTTAAAATGCAGTAACCCCAAAAGTTTACGGAAACCCTGAAATCACTTTTATATCCTATAAGTGAGCGCACCGAGTGCCTACTGTCTAAAACATTAGTTTAAACGATGTTTCTATGGCACAGAGCTCCTTGAGATGTATCAATTAAAGCAGCTAAGAACTTAATCTTTACTACTGATAAAGGCCGACCATTGGGTGTTAGAAGGTGAATGATCTGGAACAGGCATAGGGGAAAGTTATGATTGCTCAGAAATCAAAAACAGAACCTGTTTCTCGCTGAGCAACCACCAGGTGGAGAAATTTTAGGAGTACATTAAAAAATGTACTAGATTTAAACGAAAACTTTATTTTAAATGCTTCATCGTTTAGTTGTGGGCATTAATTTAGATTCAGGCCCTTCTGATGGAAAGGATGACCCTGACACAGATTGGGTTTCTCGTATTTTGGCAGCAGCCCTTTCTGAATGTGTTGAGGTGTATCTGTGTATTTGTGACATAACTCATTCATCCGCCTCCTGCAGAGCTCAGTGTCACTTGCTCAGCCGACTCCAATTTATGCACTGGCGTCAGCTCGTGCTAAAATGGCATAATTCCTCGGCACCAACCCTCTCCTGCTCCCTCGCACTTCCTCTCCCTGCCGACAGCCTCACCCCAGGCATGATTTATCAGGCCCTCGAGCAGCCGACATCGGCACTCTGGCACGTGCGCTGTGCCACAGACAGATTAATAGATTAACAGTTATGTCAGAAGCAAAGACAAGCGGGGTCATCTTTATAATGTCTCCACGTAGAGCACGACTGAGGTCAGTATAATACGGTCTGGGCTGCAGGAGTCTGAATTTTATGCTCCAGAAATATGGCCATGACCAAATCCCCCGTCATATGTTAAATGCGTTGGTAGCTTTTGGGTGAAAAGGCAACACCCAATCCAACATCGTTTTTCACGCACGCAAAGTAAGAAACGACATGAACTGAATCACTGAATTTGTAATGTTGTTATGGAGAATAGAATTATGGTAATTTGGCTGAGTGCTCAGCTGCATTGTTTAAAGAGTGTGCAGATTAAAAAGAGGCAGTGGATGGTTAACGTCTCTATGTAATAGGATGGATCATGAACCCATTCTAGAGCACCGTTGGTGAATCCCCTCCTACCCTCAAGTGCTCCCAAACTTGTTAGATTAACACTGGGAGAAGTCAAAGCTAATTTAGAGACTCACCTGTAACAAACATTCTGCATAAAACAAGAACTAATCATCAATTTGTTTTCCAAATTTTATCAAATCTTCCAGATGGTGTTTTTATAACTTTCATCCTAAATGGAAGTGTTCAGAATAATCAATTTTACAGTGCTGGGTCTCTAGACATCCTTGTGTCTCTGCCATTATTTCCAAATTGATTCATCTTCTTAAATATTGCTTTTTGGTTCGTCCCTCATGCTGTTACTAAACCGGCATAAGCAGTGAAATCACAAATCCCTGGAGGTGAAGCACTACTCACCGCACTGCTGCAGGGAATATCTTTGACTTTGAGCCAGGCCAAGTCCAGCGTGCCCTCTCCTCTGTAGCAGGACTGCAACCTGTCCTTGATTTTCTCATTGATCTTTCGAAGTGAGAAAACACACAGAGCGGAGTCCTGAGAGGCCTGTCGCGGACGTCTTTTCTGACCTTTTGAGAAGACAGCAAACAGCACATCGTCGTCTGGTGCCACGTCTAACGATGGTGCCAAGATAGAACCAGCTTTAGATAGGTAGGCTGCTTCCAGTAATCTGTACTCCACGTTGCCACTAATGCATCCAACAGGGACCTCGACGTAGGAGTTAAAAGCAGTGTCAGCCTTACAGAGGCGAACAATCTTGGAAGTGTACACCTGTTCCCGGCTAGCAGATGAGGATCCGGTGGTTGGTCCACCTCCCATCTCAGGCTGCAGGGTCAAAAAGTAGACAAAGTTCCCACTGGCAAAGCCATAAATATAGTATATGTCAAAGTCAGGGATGACAGTGAAGGTATCGGAGGGAATCTTAATCATAGAAGCCACAAACTCATCGTGGAAGACATAGGCAAACATGCCATCCTCCTCTGAGTTCCTGGCTAGCTTTCGGCTAGAGATGGTAGGGAAGTACTCTGGCTTGCCATCAACTGCTGTGGCTACAAATAGCATGTCTGGAGAGGCATTGCCATAAGAAACAATTACACCAAAAACAGAGCCACTCTCGTTTACACCTGAGAGGTAGTGCTCCTTCTTGTGGAAGGGCTCTCCTAGCTTGAAGAGGTCGTCTAGACGGAGGAGTTTGCAGATTCCCTGGTAAAGACTGCCACAGGCCAGCAACCGGTTCTCTCTGTAGTCCATCAAAAGCATCTTGTTGACGTTGTTGGTGAGTGTGAGAGGTTCACTGCAGGGCTGCACAATACGTGGAGGGTAGCACTTGCGGTTGTCTTCATCTGGACCAGTCTCATGGGACACTTGAACCTCCAAGCTTGGAGACAGTTTGTATATGCGATTGACAGCTCCCAAATAAACATTGCCATTGCGATAGTCCACAGCAAGATGGTTAAAAGTCCACTCAGGGTTTTCAGCATGAAATGAAGCATACCCCTCTTCTGGGAGCAACGCCGTGATCACCTGGGAGCCACTGTGCGCTTGTGGGGCTTGAACCACCATTTGTGACATCACAGGAAGCACCAAACTGAACAGGAAGCAGCATACAAAAGAATAGGTCCGTATTGTTGTAAGGGATGTCATGGCTGTGCTGATGGTTGGACAGATGAGGAGAGGACAGAGGCACAGTCCAGCACTGTTGGCCCGTCACAATCAAGCCTCTCTTGAAATGGGGGGCATTATGCACCTGAGGAGGGGGGAGAAAAAAGATAATCTTGTCAAAATCATGAAAATAGTCCCAAATACCCAAAACAAATTATTAGACAGACACACAAAATGGATTTAAATGTGATACTTGCTCTAATTTTATCTGGCACAGATACAAACTGAGTAAATTAATGTACTAAACAGGTGAAGAGGTCACACATTTGAGACTGCAGAGCCATCTATAATTAGACAAGAAATGGGCTAAAGCTAGAAAAAGAATGAGGCTAAGGCACAGCAGCACTTTAAAAACCTGTGAGATCAGGTAGTGAGAAACAGGACAGAGGGGGAGGAGTAATGCATTGTCTCAGAGGAGGTGATCAGCACGGCTCTGCACCATCTCTCTGCACGGACTCCTGCCCCTCTCCATCTCTCCTTGCCTTTCTGCTCTAGCCTCCATGCCCCTAATTGATTCTCCCCTTGGAGTAGCAATCTACATGCTTTGGCAATTTCTCTCTTCTCTCCCAATAGGGCAGCTTACCTGCTGACACTGCTAGCTGAATGAAAAGGACCATCTTTCGCTCAATAAAATACCCACACTCACGTACTAACACACAAGAAGGAGGGAGGTTTATGAGCCAAAGAGGAACAATTATGGAGGAAATGCTAGTGGTTGCAAAAATAGGTTTTCCTGTAGTTCAGCGGTCATTTGCACAGCCTCAGCCTACCAGACTCAGCCATAGTAAACACACACTAATGATGGCTTTTTTTTTTTATTATATCCACACTGTCAATCCATCCAACACAATAGATGGACACCAGCACCAAGAAATGAACATCAGCATTTGCTGAATGGTTGATTTAGCACATTATTTTTATTATGATGCTGCAAAATGTTTTATATTCACTTTAATAGCCAGGATGTATTTTAAGAAGACAGGTAAGGGCTTTATTAAAGTGCTGGCACGACACTACCATATATGCAAAGTGAAGCTTTTGTATAAATGTTTGCTAGATCAGATCGCTGAAGATTTCCGCTGATTTCTTCTCAGTTTGTGTCCAAACAATCACAGAGAAACTCAAACTTCTAACTAAATTGTTCCTCCTGCCTACTTTTCCCAATGGGAGAGTGCAAAGACAGACGCATGAGATGAGTCCTGAGCTAATGATGACAGAGATATAAAATGACTCAGGTACTGCGAGCAAAGAGAACTCACAGGCTGGCAAAGGCATAAAGAACCAAGCTAACGTGAAAATAAACAAACACAAAAATTCCTGCAAAGACCACGACAGCATGAGAGACTAGATTTAAAATGCCCAATTCAACCTGTTAATGTGCAAATGTTCAAGGAAACATGACAGATTCGAGGCACTGAAGTCCACTTTGGACTTCCAGCATTCAACACATTTAAAGGCGAGGAACACTAGCTTAACCAATACATTTGTTGTGTTCTCCAGTAGGAATGAATGCCGTGTAAGTGGTACTCTGTTCTACTAGCCGTGACAATCTCTGCTGTTGCTGGACGCTAAACCAACAGCAGCCTTCCCAGTCAAGATGGATGAGTGCATGAACATTAAGTGGCAGTGTGACGTAGATCTGTCAGGCTTTATTAATCCCAGAGTTTCACTATTTTCTATCAGAAGCCAATGCAGGAGCCAGGTGTAGGAGACTATTTTCATGTTCAGCCTGTGTGAAAAATTTAGAGTGACCATCTATAATTTGAAATAAGATTAAAACATGTTTTACAGTGTTTCACACCTTTAACACCAACAAATAAAGAATATAGAAAAAATGTTAATGATTAGGGAATTGCCAATGCATGACCAGAACCAAAGGAAATCATGTGACAACCCCAAAAATCTTTAAGGCTAAGGAAGTTAGCCCTTACTTTTAGCTAGCCCTTCCATCACATCAGCAGATGAGAAACGCGAGTTCATTAAAGACGTTAAAGTTGTTCATGAATAAAAAGATTAGGTGATGCTTTTCTAGGTTTTGTTCAAAAATAAAAGAACAAAAGCAAACACACGATTGAGTTCACTTTCATTTTGATGATGTAATTTACATTATAAAAGTAAATAATTTGATTATATAAACTAATCACTGATTTTACAGACAATCCAAATATTGTGTCATGTCAACATCAGGATAAGCTATTTTGGTCACATTTTACAGCTTTAAAAAACAAATTTAAACAGAAAATATTATGTAGGCTGTTGCTGCATTAGGAGTAATGACAGCCCAGTGAGTTCATGAGATTTCTCTGAAGAAGAAAAAAGCTGCTTATTAATGTCACACCAGGAATAGCAGCTGAGCTACCAGCTCTCATTTATCTAGGGGGATATATTCCATGGGAACTCCCAGTTTTGTTCATCAGTTACAAACATTAAAATGACAAAAGTGGAGTAAAAACTCCAAAGCAAAGCCTAAAACTGAAAGAAATAGAAAATGTGATTCCTTCATTTGCACTTATTCCCACGAGTAAAAAAAAAAACCAAACCACATCCAGCCAGACACATCAGAGAGAAAAACTAAACAAAACAACTTAAAGACCAAAAGGGAAATGCTCCAAGTGATTCCCTTGAGAAATATGAGTTTGGCAGAAGTAAAACATTAATGCCTTGGAAAAGGAAAAACATCCTCATCAGTGATGCCCCTCCAAAGGCTGTGTGTGCCTGCCACATAAATTTGTTGCTGAAATGCAATTATCCTCACTGATGGAAGAAGGGGGGGCAAGCTCGTTTAACTGCTGTTTGCCTTTGCCTGCTAATCATCAAACTCCATTAATTAAAGCTTGCTCTGGTTCTGAGGATTTATACATCAGACACACGCACAGACATTAAGAGGCACTGATATTCTAACACACAGTTTATCTGTAATTTTATGTGCCATTAGTGCCCGACTTTCCCTTTCCCGTCCCTGCATGCATATTAAAATTAGCAGCAATACTTGTGTTTTAAAAAAACTGAGTAATTATGTTTTAAAAGCTAGTGCATATTACTTAATGATACTAGGAAAACTTTTTAGTCCCTAAATGTAAAACTAAACTTCTGGCTGAGATGAGCTAGCGAGTAGATGCTTACGAGCAAATTTTTTATTATTTTGTAGAAAATGTTTTTATTTTGTGGTGAAACAGTCATTTAGCAAACTGGAAATAGCTGAATGTGAGCATGTGCAGGCTTGCCTCATGCTACACAAAGTTTAAGCTCCCGCTCTATATAATGATTATTTTTCATCTTTAATCGACTGCTTTTGTCTGCTCAAAGCTGACAGCCTGGCAGGCAGGAGGAAGAATGATGACTGTTTACAAAAAAGCTAAAGGAAGATGTCACTGGGATTTAAATTTATGTCTGAGTGACGTTTGTAGAAAATCATCTGAATGAATGATGAAAAATGTCACGGCTAAAATTAAACGTGTCATGTAGCTTGGGATTCACCTGGCTTCTACACACAAAAGAGCTCAAAGAGCATTTTTCAAAAACTTTGTTTCATTGAAAGCTTTTAGAAGTTGCAAAGCTAATTTTAAGAACGAGAACATCCAACACACAGCCATGGCGATGACAACAACCGTTTTTCTTTAGCAACCTGAGAGCAAAAGACCAGACATGACACTAGAAAAGACAACAAATAGTGAGCCCCAACAAAGTAATCCCCTCTATTTATAGTCTGATAGACAGGCATTTATCTCGAAGAAATGACTTGAATGAGGGAGCTGCCAAAGTCTTTTATAAACAGCTTAACTTCTTACAGCAGAAAAATGCTCAAACATATCTTGTGAGAAATGAAGACACCATGAGTCAAATGGAGTTAAGAGATCATGAGTGAAGAGGGTTAATTACTCAGTTCCTGATATTCAAAGAAAAAAAATCTGATTTTTTGGGTAAACCATCACAGGTTTAAAGGAGATGAATGACAAGTAGAGGCCGACCGATACATTACATTTTTTTTCTCTATCGGCCATTGGCCTAAATCCTTTTTAAAAGCCGATCAAAAAAATAAGTAAATCAGGCACCGGTATGGCCAATTGCCGCCACTACTAGACTGAAGAAAACGCCCGAAGGACCCCGACACAGTCTTTTTAAAGTTTTGAGTTTGTTTTATATTTGAAGTTCAATAAATGAGATAATAAGAGATGTATTGACTAATTTAATTTATATTGCACACAGTCAGTGTTCAGTTGTCTTGCATAATCAATGTGCTGCTAAAACGTGTATATATGCCAGCCTTAATAACCGGCTTTAGATATCGGCCATCAGCATCAAAAATTCTTTAAAAATTGGTATCGACCTTAAAAATCCATATCGGTGGGCCTCTAATGACAAGTTCTTGCAAAATTGAGCAAAACAGATGTGTGTACTCATTGTAGACAGCTCACATTACAAACGATGAATGAAAGAACACAAATATTAAAAAAAAAACAGAAATATGGTCTGCAAAGTTTCAGTGAAGGAAATTAGATGCTAGAAGTTTCCAGAAGTTGATAGGATGCAACATCTAAGATGAGCTAATGAAGTAAAATCACAATAATCTGACCTTTGATGTGCCTTGTTAACAGGAACCTTTTAACAGGACAACAACAATGCCTTCTTTACAGGCGACGCATTTTACATTTAGAGGACATTTCTTCTGTTGGTCAAATGGTTCCTTTGTGTAATCTACACCTGTGTTGTAGGTCCTTTATTGGTGTGCTTTGTGTAAAGGATGTGCTTCTAAATGGGTAGTGAAAGATTGGTGCTGTGGTTCCAGTCCATGTTACTAAAACTATTAAAATACTCCACTGCAACAGTGACCACCGGGGTTGAGCCTGGCCCCGGGTTTCCACGGGAGCCGTCAGCAGCACGTTACTGCAGCAGCACGTCTTGCTCGCGTAAGCTGCTGCTTGGCCCTTCCCACGAGACGCGAAGCAGCAGGGGAGCAGCTGTCACCGACCGAGCACGAAGTCACACGAGTGACTTTGTCAGTAAACACAACAACAAGCAGGAGAAAACTACCACATGGTTTGTGTTTTATGTTCTGTCCGTTTTATAATCGCCAATACGGACCTG